CTCTGCCTCTCGCGCGCGTAGGCTTCTCACCGACAAGCAGCTCGACGCTGCGTGTGGCGAGCGCGGCGTGTGCACGGGCGGCGGGCGTGAGGAGAAGCTGGCGCGCCTCGCTGCCGCGCAGGCCGGCGAAGCAGGCGTTTCGGCGCACATGTCTGCGGAGAGCGCGCCTGCCAATCTGCACGCGATGAGCGTGCCGCAGCTGCGGGCGGTCTGCGCGGCTCACGGGCTAGTCCCGCCCGACGGAGCCGGCTCTGAGGAGCTCATTTCGTTGCTCGAGTCGCGGCACGATGCGCACGCCGCGCTCGAGGGCGGCGGGCTGGAGGCGGGCGGCCAGGCGCGCCTTCTCGGCGGAGGCGGCGACGGCAACGAGGCGGAGGAGGACGAGGACGAGGAGTACGCGGGCGGAGAGGCGGAGGGCGCAGACGAGGATGAGGACTCGTCATAGAGGGTGAGGCTAGGGGTGAGGACGCGCGTCATAGAGAGGATGGGCGTGAGATGGCATCTCCCCTAGTTGGGAGACGGGCATACATCGCAGAGCGCGCTCCTTCTTAGCACACGGTTCATAGCACATGGAGGGGCGGGGGAGGGGCGGGGCACAAGATGCGGTGCGACGCTCGCAGGGGCTAGCACACGAGAGATATAGTGAGCGAATAGAGGATGTCGGTGTTCTGTAAAAAAATATCAATCTCGATACCGACCTCATCCTCAACCGACGGTCTATGGAGGACCCGTCGCCAGAGACGACGCAGGGCAGAGCCGGCAGCCACCGCAGACGACGGTTAAACGACGGGGGGAGGCGGCTATAGGGAGGCGCAGGCGGAGCAGACGCGCAGGGCGAGACGAGGGAGGGAACAGGGGATTTTGCGGAGATATCAGCAGCCGAGGATGTACGAAGAGATTAGCATTAGGAGCAGCAGGGACCCGAGGGACCAATCCATGTGGACGACGGCTAGTGCTAGTCTCCCCATCGCGCATCGGGAGGACGACCCCCGGCTAGTCGCCGACCACACCCACAAAGAACCCTGCACAAAGATCGCAAGGGCGGG